ACACACACACACACACAAACACACACACACACACACACACAGACACACACACACACTGTTAAAAAATAAGAAACAAAAAAGCTGTAAGTGGGCACTCACACCACGATTATCGTATGTGTAGCTGACCCCATTCAGAGCCCGAGGTTGGTATATCTGACCACGATTTCTTCCCGAAAATGCGAAAAAGTCCTTGTGAATATGCCCTGAGAAGAGAATGCTGAACGGGCAACATGACTTTGATGTATCCGATTGCAATCCATCCAGAAAAAAAAAAGCGAAAGTGAGTACTATGCCCTAAGAAAACCGGAAAAAGATACTGAACGAAACGACAGTGCCAAGTACCGATGGGAAAGCTCCAAAGGATTGCGGCCTGCGAAATGACAAAAGAAACTCACATGCAGAAACTAAAGAATCCTCCCTCAAACCAAAAAAACTCTGCCCAGGTCAAGTGCGGGTCAGCTGCGCTGTAAAAGAAAAAAAAAAACGAACGGCTCCTTACACGGCTTGGTTGAACACACCCTGTCTCATCCAAACACCGTGTGGGCCTTTTTTTTTTTTTGTCTTTCCCGTTGGAGACCAAGGGCCTCGCTGCACTACTGTCGACATGCACGAAAGACAAAAATATTGGCGGTGTACCTTTCCATATTCCTGTCTCTTATACACATCTAGATGTGTATAAGAGACAGCTCTTGGCCCGTCCACCCTTTTCCCTCTTCGTCTTTTATTTTTGTTTGGACCTTTTGTCGAGTTGTCCTTCATGCCATGCATAAACCACCAGTATGTTTCTCGGCGATTCTTTCAGAGTCACGGCGTGTACATGCAGGATCATCTTGCAGCCGTGACTCTCGGGATTTACCGCGGTGAATTGGAGGCCTGTTTTGCGTGGATCAATATTTCCCCAGCGAAACGGTGACTCTGGTAATTCCGGAAGCCTGTGGCGGCATGCAAGCCGCATATTTAATTTCCTATTTGGGAAACATACTGGTGGTTTAAATGCGCAGGGGCCATGCTAATTAGCATTTAGTCCCCTCTTCTTTATTTTATTTTTTTTCTTTTGCCCCCCCCCTCGCCCCCCC